TGACTCTGTAAACCGCTTAGAGAGGGCTGAAAGCCCTATGAAGCGGTATATAAGTCTAACTGCTATTGCTATAGAGTAGAAGATGGCATTTGTTTTTGACATTAGGAACTAATACAGGTAATCCTCGACTTATAACACTTCACTTAGTGACAGTTTGAAGGCACTGAAAAAAGTAACTTATGACCATATTTTTTTTACACGTATGACCATTGCAGCATCCCCATGCCCATGTGATTTACATTGGGATGCTTGAAACTCACACATTTATGCCGGTTGCAGTATTCTGGGGTCGTGTGATCACTTTTTGCAATTTCCTGACTAACAAAGTCAATGGGGAAGCCAGATTCACTTAACAACGGGGTCTGCCGCATACCTTCCAACGGCCGATAAGATCGCACAGGGTGGGCCTTCTCCAGGTGCCCGTCGACCAGACAATTTCGGCTGGCGGCTCTCCGGGGGAGGGCCTTCTCTGTTGCCGCTCCGACCCTATGGAACGATCTACCCCCAGAGATCCGGACCCTTCCCACTCTCACGGCCTTCCGAAAGTCTATCAAAACCTGGCTATTCCGGCAGGCCTGGGGCTGTTGACCTCACAACTGAGGTCCAGCCCCCATCAGATTGAGTGCTTTTAATCTGTTTTCTTTGTTTTTAATTCTTTATTTTTTTTTAATAATGTATTTCTGTAAGCCGCCCGGAGTCCTTTGGGATTGGGCGGCCTATAAATTTATTAAATACTTAAATACTTACTAATTTAATAACGACAATGTTTCACTTAACAAAGGCGGCGAGAAGCGTTCGTAAAAACGGAGCAAAATTTAACGCTTCGCAAATTTCTCACTTAGCAACACAGATTTTGGGCTCAGGTGCAGTCACAAATTGAGGACTACCTGTAGCTACTGTTCAAAACAGAAAATAATAACCCAGAATAAAGCTGTGTTTATGTTCCTCAATGAATACAACTTAATCATGTCTTGATCGTTAGGAATTACTGTTTATATGCAAGAGCCACCATGATCTTAGGATCATTTCTTAACTTGTTGGCTTGTATCCAGAAAAATCTGGATCTTTTATTGAAAGATCTTTCAGTTGTAGTTAATCTGTAAGTCCGGGAAGCTGAAAAGGTTTTTGCCAATCGAAAGGATAACCAGCCAAGAGTCTGAATACTTTTAAAATAGTCTACGCTTTCATTATTCCTCCATGATTGAATCTCTTGATCTTTTGTTTTGCTTTTTTCTGCTGTAGCTGGAATCAACGGCTATTCACTGGACGTGCCGAGGTGGAAACGTAGAAGTCCTGAAATTCCTCTTAAACAAAGGGATAAACAGAAATGCCAAAGACAAGGTATTTTACAATGAATTGTCCCCAAAAATTTCGATTTACGGAAGATGTGGATCTGGAACCTGCTTGTATGAAGTTCTTTTCTCCATCCAAGTTTATTGTCTACAAGTTATGGATAATGCTTTTTTCCCACTTTTTCTTTTTCCCTTAGTTGCTCAGCAGTCCCTTACATGTGGCGGTAAGGACTGGCCAGTATGAATGTGGAGAACATCTCATTGCATGTGAAGCAGATCTGAATGCTAAAGATAGAGTAAGTATATCATCTCCTTCCTTGATAAGGGATAGAGTAGGTGTTAGAATGCCCATCAGAAGGCATATCGAACAAGAAGGACCTGGTATAATGGTGGCTTTTTGTGCTTGTAACAGTAGACCAGAAGGACTCAAATATAGAGGAAGAGACGCTTCTGGTGCTACTGAATAGTGTCCCCCGAGTACCATGAATTAGTTTAGTTTAGTTTAGTTTATTTGTCTTGTATGCTGCCCATTCCCGAAGGACTCCGGGCGGCTCACAATAGACAAGGGAAGGGGGATAAA